TAGATCCTACATGTACAAGGTCAAAATCATTGTATAAAATGTTGATTAAGTAAATCAAAATAAAATAGGGATTTTATTTAAAAAGGTATCTCATTACACTACATGCAAATTTGCACATAAAACACCAAATATTTATAAATTTCTTAATAACATACATCGTCATAAACTATAATTTAATTAAATAAAATCATGTTTTTTAGGTTTTAAGAAATAGAAATTTGAGTCTTTTATTATTCCAAAAAATTGTAAATGTTAGTTTATGTGAGTAAATTCACATTTGATATATTTTTTGGTAGCTCAAGAATGACTTGTAATTGACTTTCCTGTATCAAATTGTGTGGGCATGCAGATCCTACGTGTACAAGGTAAAAATCATGTGTAAAATTTGAATAAGTTAAACAAAATTCAAATGGGGAATTCATGAAAAAAGGTATTTTATGTACCCTAATGCTATAACTATATCCAAATTTGCTCATAAAACCCCAAATATTTATAAAATTATTAATATCATATATTATCTTAAATTATAAAGTAAATAGAATTGTGTCTTTTAGGTTTTAAGAAATAGAATTGTGTCTTTTATTATTCTAAAAAAATTGTAAATTTGTATAGAGAAGTCCTCAGTTTATAAAAACTCCAAAGTTATTAAATTTTATAGAATAAGCCATGAAATGTTGCACAAACAACTATGAATCTTTATAATTTTATAGAATAAATTTAAAATTCTGTAGAAAAAACATGAAATTTAATATATTACAAATAGAACCGGTAAATTATATAAGATTTATAGATTAAGTCCTAAAAACGTCAAAACTTAACCTAATAAAAAATTATATGATGTACTTCTTGGGTTCACTAGTAGAAAACAAGGCATTGGCGACGGGGAAATCCGTCACCAATGCCCCAAAATCCGTCACCAATACATATTGGCGACGGGTTTATTTCCGTCGCCAATAAATCCGTCGCTAATAAGTATTGGCGACGGGGAAATCTGTCGCCAATACTTATTGGCGACGGACGACATTGGCGATTGATTTCCCCGTCGCCAATGTTTAAACATTGGTGACGGACTAACCCGTCGCCAATAAACATTAGCGACGGGGTAAATCCGTCGCCAATGTTTAAACATTGGCGACGGATTACCCCGTCGCCAATGTTTATTGGCGACGGGTTAGTCTGTCGCCAATGTTTAAACATTGACGACGGATTACCCCGTCGCCAATGTTGATTGGTGACGGATTTTTTTCGTCACCAATAAGCATTGGCGACGGGGAAATCTGTCGCCAATGTATATATTTAGGCAAAAAAAAATTTAATTTTCCGGTAGCCTCCCATACGAGAGAATACACATATAACCTGTATCGACATCAATCCAATGACAATATTTAACAATATATCATAAAATCAACCATGATATACATTCACATTCCACACATTCAATTTCATCCGTCAATCCACAATATCGAATAATACTCGTCATATAATCACAATTACAATACATCTCACATGCTCAAATAATATTCATTCACTACGCAATAAACTCACAAATATAATACATGTATGTAAAATTCAAAAGTCATAAATGTATTAACACAATCTTAAACTACATATATCGGCTCAGGAAGACTCTCCTTTAAGGACGGACGCTCAATGAGGCGTTGTGCAATATCCCAAGTCAATTGTGCATGTGTCTGTAAACAAAGGTGTCTGTAACCAATAACTTTCATTGTTGGACGCTCAATGAGGCGCTGTGCAACATCCTAAGAACGGACGCTCAATGAGGCGCTCGGGAAGACTCTTAGAATGATTAACATCCATACCTGCGACCAAATCACGACTCTTGCTAAGAACGAAAGGGTGTGAATTATTTCATTGTCTGCATTCAAGCCAATGTACACTGCCAACTCTCCAGATTTCTGCAATCACAAAAGAAGTTCCAGGATAAGATTGATGGAAAAGCACCAAATTATGCAAGGTGCAAATTGTTACCTTCCAGAACCAAGGTAATATGCCAAAAAACAAAATTGTAGTCTCCATCAGAATTGTTACAGCTTCATGAACAAAGTGGAAGTGACTGGGATTAAGTAACAAATTAGTATTCAAGTATAGACGATATTTACTAGGCTAGAAGAAGAGCAAGAGTTATGAACAGTTACATGATTAAAAACATATAGCACATAATACCAAGAGAACTTATGCATGTTGTCGGATGTCCAGATAGGTATGTGCAATGTACATTAAGATCATAAAACCTGTAAGAGAAAGCGATTACTGATCAGGATAATAATCAAGAAAAGCTAATTTCATGTGATTTAATTAATCTCCAAGCATCAGAGATGTAAAAGAACTTGGAAGTTTGAGCCTCAACTCAGGATCAGATCAAAAATAGCTTACCCAAACTCATCTAATAAGCTAAACGGACAAGCTGAGAAAAATAGACAAATGCTCCAAAAATTTACATCCGACACTTTGTATTTAGTGATACACGATGACTACTATTTATAATCTTCGTCAAAAGAACCTAATGCACTAGTAGTAGTCTTAACAATCTAGTTCAAAAGATAACTTCAGGAATTCCAAAGAAGATTATTGACAAAAAGTATTTTCTGAACCAATACAAAACAAATTAAAGAATAAAGAGAATAAACAACAACAGACTTCAGTTAGTCTCTTTTAATTGTTGCATTAACATTCTAATAAATTCATCAAAAATTGTCTTAAGAGTTCACCAACAATGTACAACAACCAAACATTGAAGTGGTGCAATAACTAATCGTCAACACAATCGAAGCCCACCTACCACAAAATAACAACCAAATCACATAACTTCCTCTCCAATTAGCAGATTTTAACATGCCAAACACTAATTTCTTCTTACAACTAGCTAGATAATCCATGATGTTTGAGGATCATATACAAAAAGAATTTATTCGAATATCAGTTTCAAAATGGCTTCTTGATCTATACAGAAGCAAATATTGATTAGAATCTTAAATTGCTACCTTACAAGCTAGTCAAATGCATAGAGGACTACCCATGTGTCAAAAAGCCCATTTGGTAAGAGCTGAGAGCTAGTCATACGTTGATTCAAACACATAATTAGTCCTCAATGGGGGAAAACATGATAAGAATGCAACACACCTCAGATATGCTCCAGGACATAAAGGTTATGAAAACTGACGGGAGGAGTTCTTGCACCTGCGACCCGCGTGACCAATTTTTCTCTAACATAAGCAAGCTGGTAAATTTTAAACGAAAATATAAGTATATGCCTCTAATTCAGATACCTAAATAGCCCATATGACCACTTAAACAAATATAACATGACAACTACTCCGGCTCTCAAAACGGGCAAGCATGAGTTTGCTGACAAGCAGGCAAAACTCAACAATGATTCAATCACCTAAACTTAATGCAAAATAACTACAAAATTAACTGATAAAACAAGTTTGGAACTGCTTCCAGAGTTCATACCAATTCTTGTCTTGTTGCACGACAAACATAAACTCCAAGAACATGAAGTCCTGGAGTATTAAAACCAGTAGCATCCAACAGATACAATAGCTGATAAGCAGAGGATAAGCTTGCAAACCAACACATATGCTTGAGGATCAATGCAAATAATTTTCAGAGCCAAAACACCAATGATAAGCTTGCAAACCAACACATATGCTTGAGGATCAATGCAAATAATTTTCAGAGCCAAAACACCAATCAACTCCTGATGTAACTCTAAATTTAGATCAAAAGCTTATTTTCACGAAATGTGAAACTGCAAGCAAATGTTTCACATGTAACCAATGTAAAATCGGCTACATAAGCAATGTTTCACTAACATTTTAATACTATTGAATAGCTATAAGGCAGGGTATAATACCAATAATGCAACTGAGAGAACTTTTTGGCGCTTCCTTAAACTGAGACTGAAGTGACACTTCATTAGATTCAGGATTCACAGAATTTTGACTTGATCCGACCTTCACTGCTCTCTTACGCAAACCATATAGTGACTCCGAAAATGAAGCATCTGAAACAGGTAATGATTACGATATCAAATGAACTGAAGGTCGAGTGGTAATTTGTGAACACACCATAATGATATCAAGCATATACATGATACATCCATGAGCAAAGGTATGATTTTACAATCTATTTTTGGCCTTGTTGTTAACATATGACCAATAATAGGAGACCGACATTGTGGAGCCGATGGGCTGCAGAGGCTGAATTTTGTGACGGGTTGCAGAGACTTTTCGAAGATTTTGGCAGCAAAGGGGATGCGGCGGGTGACCTAGCAGGAGTAGAGGGGGACGCCGATGGAGAAGACGATGAGGGCGACGCCGAGGCAGCTGGCTAAGGGGATGGCAGAGCAGAGGAGGAGGATGCCTGCCGACATTGTGGAGCCGAAGGTGGACGAAGCGTTGCCAGGCGAAGGCGAGGATGATGCCGGGATGCCTGCCGACATTGTGGAGCCGAAGGTGGACGAAGCGTTGCCAGGCGAAGGCGAGGATGATGCCGGAATTGGAGGGAGCCAAAATTGAAGGGCGCACTTCTCATTTCTGAAGGAGGAGGAGCTGGAGCTGCCGGCGACGAGAAGCTGGATTGCTTTGAAGATGACGAAGGAGATGGCGGAGGAGGAGACTCTCGAAGGGAAGGTCGGAGTGGAGGGGGATCTGACTGGAGCGGTTGAGGGATGAAGGGGTCTGTAAGGGGATTTCTTGGGTTTCTTCTTCTTTTGATTTGGGGGGTTAGGGTTTTGGGGGAGGAGGGAGGGAGGGGAGACGAAGTTGTAGCGGTCGAGGAGTTGGCGAGAGGAGGGATGCGAGGAGGACGGAAGGGGGGGGAAGAAGTATAGCGGAAATTTTTGAGGAGCGGGGATGAAAAATTGTAGGTGTGGGGGGTGGGGGGGATATTTGTTAATTTGTTTTAGGTAAAAATTTTAGGGGAAATTCTCCCGCCAATTTTTTTAGTTTTTACATCCTTTAAGTTAATATTGGATTATTACGATATTAAAATTACAATTAGAGTAATATTAGATTTTTTGTGAAATTAGAGCTAATATTAGGTCATTTAGGTGAATTGCTATTGCAACCCTCAAATCTAACTATTATTATCAAATTTCCTTTTACATCCTTAATTTCAAAGTTAATGTTTAGATCATTTCAAAATTATGTTTAAGTAAATAAGACCCATTAAAACGTGGAAACCCAAATCCATTAAAAACGACTTTTTTATCCAACATATATCATATTTCGACGGCTCCTTCTCCTCTTAACCTTATAGAAACTTCAATAGAATTTCATCCAAACTATTTTCATCCGTTTCTTTAGTGATTAAATCTAATTTAGCTCCTCACAGATTCATTAATGATGTTTGCAGGCTCAATATGGTTATATATTCTGGTATATCATTAGCAAGATCAATATGGTTACATGTTCATAACACGTATAACTAAAAATGATTTCCTCATTGGTATCTCACCATTTTCTCATCATTTTCACTTTTCACATCATTTTCTCTAAACTAATCACAGTCGAAGCTAAAAACTCACGAATACTTATCGAATATCAAAATATATTTATTTTGCTAAAGAATTTAATTTTAAAGTATTATTAAAATTCATAAATAAAAATTATTCCTTTATATTATATATATATCCGACCGTCTTCTATCTCGTGGGAACAATGAACTTCTGTGGAAAGTTTGATGGGTAACTCTTAACGAGTTTAAGAACTCTGAACGAGTTAGAACTCTATTAATAGAGTTGTTAGAACCGAAAATTCGGTTAATGACCAAGTTGATATTCTGTTGTTGAAGAATATTCTCAGATTTGATCTTCTGACTTGATTCAAAAATCCTATCTCCAAGGATTTTAATGCTGCTGTTGTTGAATCACCGAACTGAGTGGTTGAGATCCTCCAGAATTCGCCCCTGCTGCTAACTCTTCTGCTCCAAAAAGCCAGCCCCTGGTTTTTGATAATTGGAAAATCTCCAACCTGTGCGGTTTTGGTCCTCCGAATCCAACCCTTTGCTACGTTGGGTTTGTTGAGTTTTTATAGGGGGATTAGAGGTTGTAACTACCCTCTAAATTCGCTCCTAAGTGGGTGTGATTTCCTCAGATCGTGGGAAAACAGTTCTGAAACCGTTCAACTCATGTTTAAACGAGTCAAACGCCCAATCTGGCGTTCAGAACCCAACTTCGTGTCTTAGAATTGAGACGCGAAGTTGGGTGTTGGCTGAACATTGATGAACGCGAGGGTCGCTCGTGTTTTGGTTTGTTGTAGCTTAGAAACGCGGGAGTCGGTGTTGGATGGACCCCTACGAACGCGAGGGTCGCTCACGTTTGGTCTGTGGCTTGGAAACACGGGGGTCGGCGTTGGTTGGACCCCTACGAACGCGAGGGTGACTTGGAAACACGGGGGTTGCCTGCATTTCCAGAATTGTAACGCGGGGATGACATTCGTGTTTCAGAAAGAGCTTTTTGACTTGTAACTTCTTCTGTGGAGCGTTGCGAGGACCGTTGTTCAGTAATCCTAGCTTTAGCTATTGTGGGGTGTGAAAGTCGTCAGATTGTAACTTTCACTGTAGAATGTGAAGACTGCTGAATAGAGTTTTCATCAGTTGTCGGAAGTGTCGTTGAATTGTAACTCTTCTCGATCTATGTGAAAAGTCCTCTATTTGCCGCTTTCGATTGTCGGCCCAAAATCTATTTGATTGTAGCTTTCATTGTGGGAGCTTGGCGGGAATCAACATCCATAGTGTTTTGAAGATGAATATTTGCCGACAACTCTCTACCAAGCAACTCACTAACTACGTCCAACCTTTTATTTCATCAAGATCAATCATCTCAGAAATGAGGCCGTGTTTGTAGCGACTGTAGGATTGCGAATACAGTGATTAGACAGCCATCTGATTGTGACTTCCATTGTAGGAGCTTGATAGGGATCAGCTATCCATTGTGATTTTTAGACAACCTACAGAACCCCCTCCAAAGTTTTCGAAAGTTCGCGGTTGACTGGGACGAATTTTTGGAATACTTTGGATCCCAAAATTTAGTAGATCGATTGCTCACTCCGTCTAATCGAGCCAGATGACTTCAATGTTG